AGAATTAGAAGGAGAAAAAAATGTTTCTGCCTAGACCCCATTTTGCTTCAAATCTTAAGAATCACACAGGACGAAATCCATTTTGTCACTCACAAAACAACATGTATGACCGTTCTATTGAACGTTGTAAAATGGTTGCAGCTTTCAACCATAGACTGTATATAAGAAATGGACATTGTCATCGTGACCTCACCCATTGGTTTGTGGACTGCCAAGTTCGGCGACTATGCCGTCGCCAGTTTGGTGTTTTTTTAACCGATGAACGGAAGTTACCATATTTGGAATACGAAGGAGTGACGTAGAGATGTACATGACTCTGGTAGCGGCAGCGACCTGTTAGTCGCAGTAAGCTTGCCCTAAAGCATACTCCTCTTTATGGTCTATTTGACTCTAAATGGACCATCATTTACTAAATGAACATCATGCTGTATTGAAGAAGACTTGAAACTATAGATTGAGACCATAAACTCATGTTTACAATGTTTACTGAGGTAATAAATCAAGAGAGAAAGTAGAGTAATTTTCTCATAGACTTCTATACAATCTGACTTATTTTTGCAACCGGAGGAGTCGCCCCCTGCTGGTCAGTAGAGAGAATGCAAGTTTGCGTTGGCTTCACTTGGCAGAACTGGAGGCTGCCGACTGCTTAAAACGCATGGTTAACGTATTGAAACGGAAGTAGCTAAAAAAATACTAGGTAAAATCAGGTTTACGGGTTAAAATAAGTATGTTTGTTACATAAAGCACTGATCGCTTAGGTGACCTGGTTACGTACGTGACTTAAAATCAGTAAATGTTGACTTTTTGGTTTCACACGGGACACGAACATCAGTCTCCTGGGTGAAAATCCTGTGCTGGTTGGACCTGTCCTTCCAAATATATCAATTTCATTGTGTCTGGCAATAAAATTGTGTCAATAGTGTCCAAATCTTTTCATTAGTATAGGGTTTCCAAATGCAAGATTTTAACCTATTAAAATGCACTTTAATATATTTTCATCAATCAGTCAGAGGTGAAAGAAGTCTAAGTAAAAGTAGCAAAAATGATATTATATATGAAACATTATGCAGCAGAATGACCTGTCAGTGTTGTTAACTTCCCTAATTAACTTTTTAGGTCGTAAAAATGCATCATGTTTGATAAGCTAATCATGTATTTTATGTAAAATATGAATATGCAAAGTAACTACTGACTGTAGCTGTTAAATAAATGTAGTGGAGTGAACAGTACAATATTTACCTCTGAAATGTGGTGGAGTTAAAGTATAAAGTGGCATGAAAATGGAAACTCTTCAAGTATAAGTATCTAATACTTGTAATGAAGTACATTACGGTAGATGTACTTAATTGCTTCACACGGCTTCTATAGAATCAAATTCATTGGAAGTAACTGCCGTTACCCGTTTTTCCAGCAACAGGTTTGGTATGTCAAGGTTTAATGTGTGTGTGTGTGTGCCGGTCTGTTTATGAATCTCCTTCCCAATAAGTCATCTATGTGTGTGTGTGTGTGTGTGTGTGTGTGCATCTTCAAGTTTGTGTGTTGAGTGCTTTGTGTGAGAAATGGTGTGAGAATACGTCAAGGGGAGCATGTGTTAGCTCTGCTTCCAATATGAGGGAAATCTGTGCCACATACCTCCGATATGACACAAGCCAAAACGACATGACTCACCCATGCTATATTTGATTAATAAAACTACAGCCGGCGAAATGTGTTTCAAAACAGCAGATCATTACCGAGGCGCGGCTTGACTGGAGAAATGTAGCATCGTATCATCGTTATTATTAAGGTACGAAGAAAAAATGTGTGTGTGTGTGCGTGTGTGGAGCATCTGATACGATCAAAAAATCATATCTGAATGTTACATTTGTGGTTAAACATGTCTTCATTTTTCACTTTTAGTGAGGCATATGTGAACGCGGGGCGATGATTCAGATCCAGCTCGGCGTGGCCTGAAGAGGACAGCTGCCACATATGTTTAGTCCCTGCTGCTCCAAATCTTATAATAAGTGTTATAACATGAATTTCCCAGCTTCAAGAGAAAAGGTTTGCCATTGATTAGCACTTTACAGGCAATCCATTTTTACAAACCGGCCTGACCCCCGCTCGTCTCGTTTCCCAGGAAGCCGACTCTCAGGACGATGGTCTGTTACGAATTAAAGGAATCTGGAGGAGTGTGGAGTGGGTGAGTAATTATTGGAGAGAGGCAGAAGGGAAGAGGAGCGATGTGTATAGATTGAAGGGGGAGCGGAGACGAAGGTGAGGCGTAACAGTCGCGGCGGCGACGATGGAGGGCTGATTACAAACGACCAGGCGGGATGGAGCGTCCCTAACCCCCCACGAAAGCGGACGTATCTCTCAGTCGTACTTCTCGTCTGATCTCCCATCTTTCACCGACACACACGCGGAGACACAACGGACAGTGCGCACGCTATAACGGGCCCATCGCCGTGAGAGACGGGGGTGGCCACGCTCCTCCGGCTCCAGGAATAATGGCTGGCACCTGTTAACCACGTCACCTCTGTTTGCTAATTGTCTCCTTGAGCTACATAGAGAGGAATTGACAGCGTTGTGGCTTTTTGACAGGTGGGGAGTGTGCGTGTGTGTGTGTGTGTGTGGAGGTGGGGGAGGGTACTCTTGGTCAATGCATGATGAAAGGACTGGCACTAAACTTATCGTTCTTGGAGCAGCACGTTTTACCTTGGAAACTGCAACTGTAATGTGGGAGAAAATACATTTCCCTCAAAATGTAACTGTGAATGCAGTTTAGCTGTGTGGGAACATCATTTTTAGCAGACAGGGCTGGTCCGAGACATGTTTAGCCTAGCTTAGCTTAGCACAACAACTGAGAGCAGAGGGAAACAGCTAGCCTATATCTTCTGTATTTTAGACTAAATAAGTAGTTTGCTCACATGTCTGACAATTAACAGCTGGGCCTTGTAAGAGCAAACGTGAGTTTTGATTTTATAATATTCTGTTAAGGGGCACAATATAACAGTTTCAGAGTTATGGAATTCTGAACAAAATCCAGGTGATTCTACAATGGTACAATTTGTCAAGACAATTTTAGTTCCGATGGTCCTGAAGTTGTATTTTTCTTGCTTTTTCCTCCCGATTCAACTCTTTGTGCTCATAAAAATAGGCAATACGTATTCTGAACCGTCTCTCCTGGAAGCAGGAAAAAAAAAAGATATCTGTCTAGCATATTGTTTCCCATATATTCAGAGCATTTCTATAAGTCTAGTTGGCAAAATATACAGATTTGATAAGCCAGCGCTGATCGACGCTTTCGTCCATGAAAATGACAAACATCTTAAAGAAATGATCTCGCTGATCGCATCGTCACAATTTCAGGAGACTTTCCCAGTTAATCTTTAATGAATCTTCAAATTAATATTCTAAGATAATCATCTCAATAGTTCTGCATCTGGACAGCCAATATTTGGAGCAAGTAGCTCGTGAAAGTCAGGTTGTAAAACTAAGTAGGCCACATCTGTTATTTCAATGTCTCAGATACATTTAATCAACATTTCATATCTTCTGTTGCTCATCTCATTTTGAGGTTGCAGCAGGTTGTGAGCATTTCTTAGGCTCCTCCTAAAATCTGTAGTGTCGCCTTTTCAGCTGACAAAAGGTGATCAATTGATTTTCTAAGTCTTTGTTTTTCTTTACGAATGTAGTTATTTGAAAAAGCTAAAGCTAAGCAGATTTGAAAGAATTCTGATTCAAAATGCAGATAGGACACCAGGCTTGAATCCGATAAAAAGACCCCCCAACACTAACTAGCATTAGCAGTAGCATGATTCAGAGGTTCCACACATAATACCTTCTTGACAACATGGAAAAAAAAACATCTCCAAAAGATGATTTAATTCTGCAGATTTTGCGAGACAAAAGTGAGTTGGTTACATGTGTTCACTTGAACAAGAACAGTTAGTCTCCCCTTGTAAATTTCAGATCGTGTGTGACATTCATTCAGCCGCCATCCACACAGTTAATGTATCATATTTACATAGTGTGCATGCATGTGACATGTGTACATTCTGATAAAATCCAAAAAGCCTATCCACGGTTTATTGCTGAAAAGTTGCCAATAGTGATGTCACAATACCAAAAATTAAGTAGACGATACCAAGACCAGTGAAATTCCACAATTCTGGAGACCCAATTCTGGAGCCACGGTAACAAACAAAACAATAAATCCCATTTAATTCAACCTAAACTCCTTAATTACTGTGTGCATACTGTTTTATGCTGATTCATTGTTAATCCCTGATGATCTGCCCCAAAGTTTATCACCAAAAAGGAAATTTTATAAGATTACATTTGAACACATCATTATAACGGTATAATGTATCTTCAACAAACATCAGTTTTACTGATTAGAGCTTGAACGCATCATAATGCAACTCGATGCAACCTCCATGCATGAGTTGATAGCAGGACTGTGCTTTCCAGCTGCTGCTAACAGCTAACTTTACTAGCTCCTCTCCAGCCGATTTCAACACAGATTTGTTGCTCACGTTGTAGCATTATCTGGAACTTTTTCCTAACGTCCCCGAGATGACAGGACGAAGTGAGTCTCGAGCCGTGATCCTCTGTATCTGAATGGTACCGGCGGCATCGTAGAGAAACGAGTACCGACGCATTTTTAGAGTTTTGGCATCGACTTGGTACCGAAGCGTTGGTTCTCGTGACATCCCTAGTGTGCCCATTCATTTTATATGTCTGGCCGCAAAAAAAAAGGAACTCTCTTCTATAACTTCGATGTCCTCCAAAAGCAAGCCACCGGCCCACCAACAGACGCTGCAAAGGGCAGCGCTTACAGATACCCAATGTCTCGTTAGTGTGACGCGTGGCACAGCCAAAAGATCGCGCGCCCCCCCCGCCCCGGATAAATAAATATTCAATACGAAAAAAACAAAAGATGCATGCATATGTAAGTGTGACAGACACCTTTAATATCCTCCCCCCTTCCCTGTGTTCAATCAGTGTGATCGTACCTGTGTGACTGCTGCCGCTCCAATGAATGCCGGATGTCAGGAAGATCGCCGACAGCTCCACGGAAGGCGGGACGACAAGGGCCTGAAAACAAAGCACACACAGGAAATTCACAGTCGCCCGCATTTGAAGCTTGACAAGTTTGCAACACTGGCGACAGATGAGCAATAACCATTAACACATTGTGCATTGATTCCCCCCCCCCCCCCCCCCCCCCAAAAAAAAACAAATCCCCCACATCATTATTGTTCCTCAGGACTTCCTGTGAGGATGTGATGTCATCTACACATCCATGAGTCATCTAAAAACAAATATGTATTTGCGTGTGTGTCACTTTTTGACTTTTTTTTCCTTCTTTTTCTTCTCATTAATTACTTTTTTATTTTGACATTGTAATATCCAGTTCCAGACGAGGGAATCATAGCGGGGACACATAAAAAGATGTCCAAGGTTTATCATTTGTTTAGTTCAAAAAATGTTACGGTAAAAAAACAACAAGAAAAAAAAAGCAGAATGGGAAGCTTTGTTCTCAGAAAACAGAAAACTGTGAGAGGAGCACAACGCAGCGCAGCAGAGGATGTTATCTGATCCAGCCTTGAAGCCGCCGCCGCCGACGCTTAGCGGCAGAAAAATAATCAAGCGACTCAAAAGTATGTGAAGTGAAAGGCTGACACTCCCCTTTAAAGTAGCATGTAGCTCTGTAACCCTGTGAGTGGCATTTAAAGCTGAGGCCTCACAAAGAGACATCGAGCAGCTGACGACACGACGTTTGATTGTCATGATTCATGAAAGTATAGAGGATGTATTTCTAAACCCTTCAGAAAGTTTAATGCTTAATTAAGGTCAGACATGGAAAAACATCCTGTTCATGCACTGGTCAATGTTGAACTGTTATATTCTTTCATACTAGTGAAACTTACATATTTAAGTGTTTATTTGTACTTTGTCTATTTGCTTCTGTAGATTCCTCCTAAATTAACCAGATAATGACATTTTCAGTTTTTTTGGTACATTTCTGAAAACGTATTGTCTTAACGTAAGTAATGAACTGGGGAAGTTTCATGGTGAAATGTATTATTTAAATATTTTTATTCACCTTTAGTGTCTTCAAAATGTGTGTAATTTTACATTAAATATCTTTACAAGAGTTTTCTCTAAATTCATTATTTTTTTCAGATTCTAAGCCAGAAATCTCAACTTCAGCAGCACTTACATACACCACTTCCTTTCCGGTTTCATTCCTATCTGTATTCCGAAGGTTCTTACTGAAGGGTTGTTCATATATCATTCAAAGTTTTATTTTTTTTTAAATGGCAAAAAAGATTCAAGCCAGGTTCAAAATAAGATTTTTGAACCTGGCTTTATCCAACGATTTTTGTTCTAGAAATATCTGCAAAGTAGCACATGTTTAATATAATAATACAACATTTGCATATTTAAACATACATTTTCACAAAACTACTAATGGGAAAGTTTAATAGCAGTATCTATTATTTTATTTCTTTACCCTTTTCGCCTGTAGTGTCTCCACTGAAGATGGAAAACCTGAAAATGCTTTCGTCTTTGTTGAAAAAGCTAATTGATCCATTTCTACACAGCTGACTAAACCGCTCCTGATTTACATTCCACTTTTTTTTGTGACATTTCAAACGTTTGCCTGAATCTGTTGAAGTTTGCTCAGATGGTAATCTGCGAATTCTTGCTTTTTGTATATTTACCTTCAATCTTTAAACCGCCGCGTCGTTCCTGCACTAAAGATCACCTGTCAGTCACGGTGTGAGCGACGCCGTCCTGTTTTATTACGTTTTTTCTTCACGGCTTTCTGCAGGTGGCGCTCTTTTTCCGGTGATTCGTTAACGCTGCACGTTATTACTCGAAATGTCTGACTGGGTAGGAGGTACGGATCCAACAAATTCCCATGGCTACTCGTGGATGTGGGGAGGCAGCCAGGCGTGGAGGAGCTGGCTCAGTCCTACAACAACGGGAGGGGAGGGGTGAGGGGGCGCACAGATGTGGAGGGTCTGCAGGAGGGCCACCCCGATCTACCCCACCACTACTGTTTCAACAGAGCATCGAGAGTAGAACTCACTCACACACACACACACACACGCACAGCCACGACATTGCCTTAAGTCACAATCTAAATTGGCTCCCAAGGGCATACCGACTACCTTGTTCACCAAAGGCATTGTGTATGTTTTCTGAGTGCTTAGCATATGCTGCTGTAACCTGAGATCCCTCTCTCTCTCTCTCTCCCTTGCATGCACAATACACACATACACAAACACACTACGTTGCTAGAAGTTGCTCTGTTTTCTCCCTTTGCGCGTTTCCCATTGGGCCCTTAATTAAATTTAAAATAGTTCACGTCTACCTATCAAGCCGCCCACCCGAAACAAACCTCGACAGAGAAGCGAATAAAGTCAGGGTGATGGTGTGCTTGTGTGTGTGTGTTTGGATTGGGGCGGGGGGGGGGGGGGGGGGGGTTCTTCTCAGATCAAGTCGTCTGCTCTTTAAACCGCCATGTGCCTTTGTAACGACGATGCATGGAAGGTAAACACACTGATATTCATTGTCAAAAACAATAATCTCTCAAGTTGATTTTATTTTTTTTTTTCTGAACACGTTACAGGAGTATTTAAACACTTTCTAATTTACACTTAACACGATTGAAACTGAACATGGAGCCATGAAATAAAAAATAGCTTGCAAACTACATTCAGAAAGCCGATGAAGATGTGTGTATGGCTATCGCTCTGCCGGAGTGAGCGCTGCTGACACTTGATCGAACCTGCTAGGTCTACGATCTGATATCAAAAGCACACTGCCGAGTAATGAAAACAGCTAACATTTTAAGACAGTCTAACCTTTCCTGTGTTTACCTAATTAAAGAGCGTGTGCCTTGGTTGGTAGTGAAATACACATTTGGTGGGGGGGGGGGGGGGGGGACAATGTGTATAAAGCCGGCAGTGTTTAAGCAGGCGAACAGTAAAGTAATAGGCAAGAGCAGTGAAGTGTTGATTCTACAAAAGATGCGGGGGGGGTGGCGGAGTTGCACCTTAATGCACACACACACACACACACACACACACGCGCAAACACATACATCCCCTTCCCCTCAATACACTCCCACAACACGGCCGGCTGCCTGGCAGCCGAAGTTAACATTTTCAGAGAGAATATTCCTTGCCTCCAATAGTCCGATGTAATTCATTTTCCATCTCTGTTCATTAATCATTGTTAAAATTAGTGATCCATTTCTTCCACTCTGCCATCTGCACTCAGCTTCCTAACAAACATGACACCTCAGCGCATAATAAAAGCTGACAGCTACGAGGAGGCCCTTTCCAAATAGCTTTCTGCATATGTGCACCTCCACGACTTGATGCCGTTGTCAGACAAAAGTAGATTATTTAGACCGCTGGCTGGAGGGAGAGAGAGCGTGTGCGTGCGTTAACGCATGCAGGACATTCGTGTGCGTGCGGTTACGTGCGCTACATGTCGAAAAAGGGAGAAAAATCACACGCAAACAAATCCCAGAAGTCACAGTCACATGCGCTGGCACATACACAAAACAACAGATGTGCCTAATCTTGAATGGAATGTGCGAAAATCCCGATAAGGAAAATCTCCCTTGTACTCCTCAGCAGAGGGGTAAAGTGAGGAAAATGAAGAAAAAGACGGGGGGGGGCATGCAAAATATGAGCAATCAGGAAAGTCGAGAGAGTGGAAAGAAACATGGGGAGAGAGAGAGAGAGAGAGAGAGAGAGAGAGAGAGAGAGAGAGGCCGATAGAGTTCCAAGTGTCCTGTTTACCCCTTTGCTTTAATGTCAGCTGGAACACTGTTGTACTTTTCTTTTCATGTATTGTTTTGCATTTGATTCCAGCAGCTGCGGCGTTTGGAGTGTGTGTTTGTTGTGATGCAGTCTATCAGCTCTGCTACACCCTGATCTCGACTCGGCTATGCTAGGAGCTAATTGGGCTAAGAGGCAGAGACGGTGTGGGACTAGAAAGAGACAGTGAAAAAGGTCTCGGGTCACCCGGTGCCTCATAAAACACACCTGTGAAAAAAAAGAATACCTCGATGGAAAGCTATCCACCTCCCCGGACCCCCCTGCTCCTGCAGACACCCAGTATCCTGCACAGAGTCAGATTTAGGTGCTTAAAAAAGCAGCAGGCTTAATACACTGGAATGCCGGTGTATTTATTGCACGCGGACTCAGTTTAATGAAGCATAAAGCGAGCAGGCGCTCTAATATCTGTGAAACTCGCTGCACTTCTGCTGGGGTTGAAGAAGCGGAATAAACAGGGAGAAACCCAGGCTACGGGGGGGAATCCTTAACACTCCGTCTTTACTTACTGATGATCGAAAGTCTTATTCATTGAGTCATTTCTATTGTCGCGGAATGACTTTTAAAATCATGATAAACGTTTCAAAAAAATGAAACAAGAACGAATCTGAAGGCCACTTCCACCTTGTCTCTCATGCAGTGCTTACTCACACTACCTTCCCCTAGTCTCTAGTTACCCCCCCGCCACCACCACCACCACCAGCAGCAAACTGTCCCTTCTCACATCCACGCACATATGCACAATATCACAAAAAACGCACACACCCAAACGTTCCCATATACACACGCTTAAACCTCAACAATCCTATGCTGCTGCAGTCCTCTGATTCTCTTCCGTACACACACACACCTCGCCAGGGAGGGATCCTGACCGTGTGTGTGTGTGCCCGAGGCACAGCACATTAATCTATATAATGCCCTCAAAGAGAAGGCTTTTTCACACCGCTAACTGCCAAGGACTACGAGGGGCAGCGGCTGAGCCATGATTCAGCTGTTAGCCCAACTGGCATCCCCGCACGCGGGCGCACGCACCCCCCCAACACACCCCTCCAAACACACACACGAGCAATATGTCAGCAAGAACACACACACACATATACACCCATCTCTGGCAAGAAAGACAACACCGACACCTTTGCGCGCTCCCACGGGGAGACATTCATCAACGGCACGAGGCTGCGAATCGACCCTCGGTACTTTTTTTGGTAAAAGGACGAAACGTGTCAAAGTATT